CTACTGTTTTTTTAGTTGGAGGAAGATCATGGATAATTATTTCAGATTATTATTTATACGCATCACCAATATATAAATTTAATTCAAAAACTTCGCAGTGGACCATACCGAGTATTAATAATTTTAATTCTAGCTTTACAACTCGTAATGAAATGCAAGCTGTTATTGACAATAATGGAACCATTTTTATTTTTGGCGGAATTAATTATGATTATTCAACTTCAGCACCTACTACTGTTAATAATGACATGAATATACTAGATAATGGTTCAAGTTCAAATATAAGCCTCATTAATATGGCTCAGGTATGTATAATATATTAGTATTATTACACGTTTTTATAATTTTCAAATATTTATTTTAAAGTTTACCTTTGTTTATGTTTAAATACAGGTTCAAATATTTGACACAAAAACTTACACCTGGTCAATCAAAGTAATGTATACAATTAATATTATTTCAAATGATAACTAAAACTAAATTATGTTCTTATTTAGTTTGCTAGTGGTTCTATTATAACCTCTCGATTATTTCATTCTACTGTTTTAAGTATGTATGCTATACATAATAATATTATATTAAAAGTTGCTTTAAATGTTGTTTTTTGATATCTTATGTTACTAATTATTATTGTTTTTTAGCACAGGATGGAAATATTATCATATATGGAGGTTCGACGCCAGATACTTCTGGCGCCATTGCTAATGTTTTTTCTGATATTGCAGTATTAAATACATACTCCTGGGTATGGTCTGTTCCAAGCGTTTCTGGACCAAATGCTCCACCACTCACGCAGCATTCTGCTGCATTTTATAAAAATTATATAATAATTGAATTAGGTAATAAATTTTTTATATTTATTTATTTGAAGAAAGTTATTAAAATTATTTAATTTTTACATCTTTAGGCGCAGCTTCTGCAAATAATATCTATATTCTTAATACGCAAAATTATTCCTGGGTTACTACATTTACAAACCTAGATAAACTGACTCGAAATATTCCAACTCGTCAAAAAAAGTACAATTTCTCAGGATTATATGCTGGAATTCTTTTGGGTATATGTGCAATTGTTTTAGTTATAGTATTTTTTGTTAGATTCCTTATACATGAAAATCGACATAAAAAAATTACCAATAACGCCTGAACTACTGCATCGAATTATTATCATAAGTAGGCAACTTATACAATATATAAGAGGTTGATAATATTAAAGGCTTAAGTGTTGTTAAGAGAATATGGGACATTAGTATCATATATTTTATTAATAAATATTTTATTATATAAACAGATAGTATTTGTTTCAGTTTGTAAGCATACCTTATATAATATGATCAATAAAAGACACTATAAATTAATTTTAAATATAATATATACTCTTTTGTATTGCTAAAATATAAAGGTCTTTTTCTTGTCTATATACTAATTAAGTATCGAGTTAAATATTTTATTAATCTTTAATATTAAAGACAATTTATTATTACTAATAATAATTTATTATGTTAATATTATTTGGAGGAAAGTAAGAATTTTCAGTAATAAATTTGAAAATAATGAGGAAATAGATAAATTACCTGCGTCAATCATACTATAAATACTTCTAAATACTTCTCAAACTAGTAGCGCACTCGATAATGAACGTGTTAATGATAATCAGGTAAGAAAGGTGACTACAGCAACGATAGCATGTAAAGTTAGGTAATAATTTTTTATCAAATAAATTTCGAATGACCACTTTTTCTTGACGCAATGAAAATTTTTATATTATTTTATAACAATAATTTTTACATGTCGGGTTACGAAATCCGGTTAAGTAAAACCTCAGATCAGACTTTAACAGCGATTACTGTACATTGTAAAGGGTAAATTGTGACTTGGAATAAATTTTTTCGCGCATAGTAGATCAGATGCATATTAGGTTTAGAAAATTTGGCGCATTTTGAACATATGTACATTTTGTACATGGAAGCCGTGTACATTTTGTACATAGACGCCGTGTACATTTTGTACATAGACGCCATGTACAATTTGTACATAGTGATCAACATCAATGAAAAACCTATAGAAACTTGTTAGATAGCAAACATAGCCCAGTTGTAATAACAAGCGGTCTAAAAGTATAAAAGACCCACCCTTTTTGCTTTAATAAAAGGAGGGAAGAAGTCGGAATTGGTAGAACTCATTGGAGTTCGACTCATAGAGAGTCTAGTATTCTAACTTTAAAGTTCGCTCCATACCCCCCCCCCCCCGATAAATCAAATTCGTATAGAGTTAGTAGTCTAAACCCGTGATCCCGAAGTAGAGTCTCGTGACGTAATCTAGAGCTCTATTTGACCCTAATAACTCGGACCAGTCTTCCACGCCTTCTTTCGTGGCCTTCCACTATTAGGATTGATAGAGTTTAGTAGTCCAGAGTTATTGTTTAGATTAGTTTAGTAGTAATTGATATCCGTGTTGCCCATATTTTGTGATTCCGGATCAGTTCTCACGTTTACACTTGGTGGTAACTGTGAGATTGGACTTTTCAAACACCCAAACCAATTACCTTCGAACGAATCCACCAACCCAACCCCAAACTAAAATAAATATGGAAAGAAATACTTATCTCCAAGAAGAAATCCATTCACAAATTTCGCCAAAATATAGGCCATCTCAAAGAAAAATAGTCCGAAGAGACCTTCGAAAAGAAGTATGGTGCACCTATTGTAAGACAAAAGGGCACATAGTTAATAAATGCCCAGAAGTGAAGTTAGAAAAGCAATGCGCTGTATTATCTGAAGCTATGACTGATAACCAAGTTACCGAATTCCAAGAAATCATAAATGAAGTCTTTGGAAATAATTACATTGATGACTCGCAACCAGTGTTTCGAATTGAGCCGGCTTAATTAGGCTCGTCGGAATTTAGGGTTGGCTCGATTTTGGCTTGAAAGGCTTGCGAGCCGGTAGTACAAATTATATAATACAATCTCCACTGCTGCAGATCACGATACTTTTTTCAATCTTCGCTATTAATTAAGCTACAGATTACATATACCAATACATCGTATCAATACAATTTTTTTTTTATTCAAGTAAGGTCGCAAGAATATATTCGAATCACATTTTATTTATTTGTTTGTTTTTTTTATCGTGCATTGGTGAGTATAAAGTCAAAAGTTCTAAAGATTATGAACGTTTGAGTCTTACTTATATGTATATATATTTTTTTTAGAGCATATTAGTTTTAGTGTAAGTAAAATAGTTATTAGTTTAAAGTTATGTTATTGTATGCTTATTCTCAGTAGAAATATATTTGAGAAGAATAAATATCAAAATAGTTAATAAAGGTGAAATAAGACTTATCCATTGAAACCAAAACATGTATCTGGAAGATGGGACATAATAATCATCACTATCATAAAAAAGGCTGTTATCTCATGGTCAACATTATAATCTAACCCAAAACAAAAAATAATAGCAAAAAAAGCAAAAATAGATAAAGAACAAAAAAAGTACATAGCAATTGAACAACTGAAAATTAATCTAGGTAATTCTTCGCCATTGATTGAGAAAAATCAGGTTGTTATAAATGTCATAAAAATTAATAATATCATAAATTGTATATACACTGAGAATTTATTAGAGAAAAATCTTTTGACTTGAGCAAAGAAGGTTTTATCTTCGGCTGAAGGTTTTGAAAAGCAAGAAAGAAATAAACTGGCAAAGAAGGATAAAAAATTACCAAAAGCAACATGTGACACACTTTGAGTTATATTGATACATAGAGTTGAAGCCAAAGTTACTTTGATAATTAACAATAAAACTGATACATATTTAATCATGTTTGTAGATTAACGAGCAGAATGACAAAAGTTAAGCAAAAATAGCTAATTCCAAGTAATTAAAAATTATTTAGACAAAAAGTTGCTAACTAAAAAAATTCCGAGTCTCAAACAAGATCTATACAAAATTTCCTTTTGTGTATGTTGGAAAAAATTTTTCGTGCCAATTTCTGCATGATCAGACCGGAATTTTGATTGCCAAATTCATGATGTCCAACAATCAGTGACTATCAGTTTAACCAAGAAAAATGCCAAAATAGAAACATATTTGTAAATCTAATAAAAAGACCAATAAAAAGGTTAAAAAAAGAGCTTTTCATTATCCCAATTGGAATAGCAATAGTAATTTCAGTTGACTTGTAATTGCACTTTGTTATTGTGGTATAAAATATTTTATAAAAAAGTTAGTTGAGATGAAACATTTTCTTTCCTGAAATTGCAAGAAAATTTTGACTGTGGATCTTTGCATAAGCCAAGATTGCATGATCTAATCTGTTTGGAAAAGACAATACAATCCAGTCTACCTCTTTTAAATAATAATTACACTATATATCTGTGTATAGCAACAATTGACTGAGCAAAATTGAATACAAGTCACTCTCTTATAGTGAGGTGATTAGGCTTAGAGATTTCTTCACTGTATCGAGAATCTATTAGTTATTCACTATATTTTGAATGGGTTCTTATATAAATTGTTTTTCACTATAATAAGAGTAGCTTGTATATCTAAGTCTCTAATTACCAAGTTCTTATATATTATTGTTCTCGATTTTTACTTATGACGAATAAATACATTTTGATAAAGCTCTTTTAATGTGGTTTAGAGTTGAAATCAGTAGCAGAAACTCTGAAACCTCTCAACAAGTCATAACAACTATCAATTTAGTATGGTGAATTGAAATCAACAAAAAAATATCTAAAAATAAATAAAAAGGATCTGAAATTGAAATTTCTTATAACATTAATCACATTTTTCTTAAAACCCTCAAATGGTGGCTTTTTTAAACAATTTCACATTTCAGATAAAATTTTACTCAAATGTCTCAATGTATATAATAGATCTCAAAATTATGTTTTTTGTTTCTAGTTTAGCAACTTTTTGTTTAAATAATTTTTAATTGTTTGGAACTAGTAATCTTTGTTTGAAACTTTGTCATTTTGCTCGTTAATATACAAACATGATTAAATATGTATCAGTTTTATTGTTAATTATCAAAGTAACTTCAGCTTCAACTCTATGTACTAATATAACTCAAAGTGTGTCACATGTTGCTTTTGGTAATTATTTATCCTTCTCTGCCAGTTTATTTCTTTCTTGCTTTTCAAAACCTTCAGCTGAAGATAAAACCTTCTTTGCTAAAGTCAATAGGTTTTTCTCTAATGATGTCTCAGTGTGTATACAATTTATAATATTACTTATTTTTATAACATCTATAGAAAACAGATTCTTTTTGTACAATAACCAAGAATTACCTGGATTAATTCACAATTACTCAATTGCTGTATATATTATTTGTACTTTAATTATTACTTTCTTTTTTTTTAAATTTCTATGTGTGGTCTTTAAGATTATACTTCTAGATTTTGTAAATGATATTATTACTGGAGTATCATACTGTATGTTTTTTTTTCACCGATTTTAATTTATATTATTCAACTAATTATTCAAACATATTTCAAAGACCATGTTCAATCTACTGGATACATGTTTTGGTTTCAATGGATAAGCCTTCTTTTACCTTTATTAACTATACCATTATACTTTATTCTCAAATATATTTCTACTGAGAATAAGCATGCAATAACATATTTATTAATATATCCTATATTATTTCAATTATATTTACATGTAGGATATATAAGTTTTACCTATATTGTAATGAAGGTTATTTATCATCAGTTTTGTTATTCTTAAGTGGATTCATTTTAAATAATGCTATTCATATGGCATATGAATGGGTATTTCCAAGTGATATTTGGAAAATAGTTAATATCAAAACAGAAGGCAAAAAAGAAGAAGAAGATACTATTAATACCACTAATGCTGAATAATATGAAATTGTATTTGTTTTTTTTTATTGTTTTTTTTTTTTATTATAAACATTTAAAAGTTTTGAACGAACTCACCAGCCACTTTTAGCACATGGTATAATTTTAATTTATCTTGTCAAATATAAAAAAATTCAATTTATTACATTGAATTGATAAATAATTAAAATTTCCAATTAACAACAAAATAATTACTTTAATTAAATAGTATTCTTAGATCATATAGTAACTATATATTTTTATTAATTTAAAGGTTATCAGATTTGGAACTTACAATTAAATAAGGTTGCAAGATCAAATTCAAATAATGTATCAAAAGCTTATGAGAATTATACTCATTTTAATAAAGCAAACCCATACACTAAGAAGATTTTTATTTGTTTGAATAATATGTCTTTTATTTATTCATTTTACATTGCTAATTTAGTATGAACTGTCTAAAGACATCAAATGCTAAATTTTTAATATATACTAGCATATTACCCGTGCCTTTGGCACGAGACATAAATTTGTTTAAGTTAATAAGTAGATATTTTTCAAGGCCTCAATAAAATATTAAAGTTCAAGATCTTGAATAGGCATTATCCAAAAAGTTAAAAACCTAATGTGAAAAAATATTTAAATGCGCACAATTTCTGAACTAGTATCTGAGCTAACAACGCTTTTCATGACAATTTGTACCACTAACAACGCTTTTTATGACAATTTGTATCGCTAACAATGCTTTTCATAACAATTTGTACCATTATCATCATAAGTGCTCATTGGCATTCGTTCCGGCGTAAGAATAGAATTATCTATGGCAAATCTTGTTTTTTTGAAAATAAAGAATTTATTTCCCTTAGCCCGTAATGGTGTTATAAAACAATCCAGTAGGTTAACTATTGATTCTTATTTTCAAATCTAGAAGCCTAATATATAGATTCTCAGTTTTATAAAATGGCGTAATATTTATAATTACAAGAAGAAATCATATTTAACTAATACAAAAACTACAACAATCAATAATAACATATAATTATAAAAAATGATTTTTTCTTGTTTACACTCTATTCAATTTTGATTTTTTCTAACTTAATTTGCTTATTTCAGTCTTGATTCGATCATTTTTAATTTTGTGTAAAAACTTTTCCTGACAGCTACTTTTTCTTCTATCTTATAAATCTTTTACCTGACAGAATTATCTTTTAATACTTTAGACAAGTATTCAGGAATGTCCTGCCACATATCATGTATGTTCATCAATAATAAATGAGATTCTAATAATTTGGCTCTTCCTATAGCACTGCTCGAATAACCATTCTTTTCTGACGTAATGTAAATTCCGATAGTTGTTTGCTTATCGAATCTTGATATAATACTCTCAAAATCTCGAATATAATCAACTTCAACTTTGTCAGTAAGATCTTTGTATTGAAACAATAATAAGTAATGATTATGATTTCCGAACATATCTATGCCACAATCACCTCTTGATAACCTATAAAAAAAATAACTATAAGTATTGTTATCATTATCGTCAAAGAAAATGCTCTAAAGCCAATACAGTTATTTATCCATGCATCCTATTCACCACAGACTTAGCTTTTCGGATAACAAATATAACAGAGAAGAACGTTCACAAGTAATTATTACTTGGCTCCTGTAACATCCCCTGTGGCCATGGTGTGCTTCTAGTTCTCTGTCTATCAAATCATCCTAGTGACAGCATAACTTTAGATGCCACGACTAAACGATCACTTAGTGATATAATTATCTTATCTCACTCTTTGGCAATTAATCTTTATTTTGTTTTTAACCAACCTAAAAACTTTAATTTTGAATCTGTCCTCTTAGAAAAAGAAGTAATAGAGTTGTTAGAATACTTTATTACTGGTAAGAAAATTTCAAATTTTTTTTTTTAAAAAAATTTGCACTGAAATAAGTCTTATGTCTTATACAAAAATAAGGAATTATTTGAAAAGAAAATAAACATGCACTTTTATTTACATTTAGTAATTAAAAATCCCCAGAGTAAAAAAGCTCAATATAGATCTACAACAGGGTGAGAAGTTTATTTAATTTCTCAAATATCATGAGTTGTATATGTGAGAATATTGTTCTAATGACTACAATATTCTTAGCATTCTTTGCTATGCGGATTATAAGAGTTTATCATAAACTCTGTAAAAGAAAATATAACTGTCACATAGTAGTTACAAATACCAGTCCACAGAAACTTTGCAGCTGCTTATTAAGTGTAAAATGTTCCTGAGCCAACTTTACTAAATAGCTGGTCTATTTTTTGAAAAATTCTTTTTTTGTAGCTAAAAATAAAAAAAAATTAATTTTCAGCCAAAATTAAGAATTTTGAAGTAAATCTGCATATTTATTCAGTATCATCTGCAAATGACTATAAGCATGATGGATATTTAAAGGATCTCAATTCTAAAATTCGCATATCCAAAATTATTTTCTATTATAATTAGAGCATGGACCAATGTCGTCAAATATTACTGTATTATACAAATATTGCAAAAGTTATCGAAGGATTGTCAACAAGTGTTAAGTATTGCAAAAAAATTGTTGATTATAAGATTTATAACAAAAATTGTATTGCAAAAAAATTGTTGATTATAAGATTTATAACAAAAATTAATTTTCTGAATTTTTTTTATTGTCAATTTGGTCACTTTTCCCAACATTAATAGTAAATTCATTAAATAATAAAAGTCATTAAAAATAAGTATAGAATCCCTTTATAGTAATGGAAGACAGTAAATATAAAATTTAGTTAACTTAGAACAAAAAGTTGTGAAAATAATATAATTAATTAAAACTCCATTCATTCTCCGATGGCATATTGATGCCGTAGGAGAATAAAATAAGTTTGAGAAATTATATTTTTGATATAAATTTTCTTGCTTTAAAATAAGAGTTATTGATCAAGAATAATATCAAATGCCAATATCATATCGGCTGATCTACATTAAGACAGCTGGAGTCATTTGTACTCAAGTAATTAAGTAACTATGATTTTTTATTAACTATAAAATAAAGGTTAAACATTTAAATTTTAAGGGATAATCTAAAGAAAAAAATCAATTTTAAGTAAGAACAACTTATAAAACTTTTTTTATGAATCTGAAATATTTCATACTCCTTTGCTAAAAAATTTGATCTATTATAAAATAAATAGATATCTCTTAACGGTTTATCATATACAATAAAAGAATTATGCCAACAAGTTATAGTTATTGTATATGTAAGTAATTACACACGGGTTCATATTTAAATCACGTGGCCGAAGGCCACATGGTTAAATATAAATCCGTGTATACTAACTTACACACACATATCCATATAATAACTATATTATCGTATGGGTCTGACGTAACAACTCATGTGTCACTCTGTACTAATAATTTAAACTTTTTGGGTTACTATATATAGTAATTTTCTTTCACTTGTTCGTAAAACTTTCTCTTTTCTCTCTTACTAATCCCAACTTTCTTTTTTCTTTTTTTTTGAACTGTCTAACAACAACTTTATGGTCAACGATTTGTGCGAATTTGAATAAAACTTTGAAACAGCTATATTATGTATCAATTTTGAAAAAAAAAGGTATCTTTAAACCCAAGAAATATTGCAAGAAACATTGTAAACGAAGGTGTAACCTTTCCGCAAACTTCAAGAAATATTGCAAGCAAAGGATAATGAGCGAACGAAGTAGCAACAAGAAAAGCAGCTAATAACGAATAGTATTATTGTTCAATTTTAAGTTTTTTCTTTTTAATAATTAATATGTAACTTTATTAAACACTTATTTTGCAAATAAATACAGTACTAGTAGTTGTAAAAAAAATCGTCCAATCTACTATTAATTCTTTGTCCAACACTTGAGAATTTTAAAAATCACCTGATCTCATATTAATTCATATTCCAACAATTGAGAATTTTAAAATTACTCAACCTATTGTTGATTATTTGACTAACGGTTTAGTATTTTAAAATAGCAATCTATTATTAATCTTTTGTTCAACATATTAGAATTTTAAAAATTGCCCAACCCACAATTAACTCTTTATCCAATGATTTAGAATTTTAAAAATTGCCTGACTTACTATTGAATCTTCACCAACGATTTGGAATTTTAAAAATGCCCAATCTACTATTAAATGTTTGCACAACAATGAAAAATTTTAAAAATCGCTCAATCTACTATTGATCCTTACCCAACGATTTATGAGTTTAAAAATTGCCTGACCTACTATTGATTCTTCGCCCAACAATTTGGAATTTTAAAAATCGCCTAATCTACAATGATTCTTCGCTCAACAATCTAGAAATTTAAAAATTGCCCGACCTACTACTAATTCTTTGCCTAACGATATAGCATTTTAAAAATTGCCCAAAATACTATTGATCTTTACCTAACGATCTAGCATCTTAATAATCGCCTGACCTACTACTGATTCTTCGCCCAACAATTTGGAATTTCAAAAATTGCCCAACTCTACTATTGATTATTTGCCCAACAATAAACAAGATGATGTAATCTTTATTTTCTTAAGTGGAGAAATTTAAGTATAATTAACTTCTATTATATAGCAATTATTATGACTAATTTTTAAAAATTACTATTTTAGTACTTGTACAACATTGTACAAAATTATATAATATTAATTATCTCAAAAAATACTGTATAAAATTTTATAATTTTTTTTTATTTAAAAGATATAGATTTAATAAATTTATATTTTAATTTTTAGCTTTATATTTTTATTTATTTAACTTTATACAAATTTTTAAAAAGTATCTACAATAATATAGTACCCCACTGTAAATACTGTTAAAGCATTTAATATCCAGCTCACACTACACAAGGTTCAGGCACACTCAAACAACTGATTTAACAATATTGCTGACACCCTGGCCAAAAAATATCAACAAGCAGCCACTCCTACTCTCTTATTCAACTATACCAGTATACACAACTCTTACTTCACTATCCAATGAAAGAGATACAATATCAAAAAACTCACAAGACTATTTGTCAAAAACATCTGTAGAGCATATATTACAGCATTGTGGTCATCACAAAAATGCAACATAGAATGGGAAAAACAATTGACTGGGGCTCTACCTGGCATTTCCTCAACAATAATCAGAAAATTACCTCTAACATCACATCTTCTAAACTAAGCCAAATGAAAGCATTCAGAATTAAATACCTGCTCAATGACTTGCCATCATACTTCCACTCTCATTACATCTCCCCAAGCATTTACCAAGCCAGCACATGCTTCTCCTGTAGTGCCCCAGACTTACCCAACCACTAGATGAACTGCTTTAGCTCTCCATTTCCCAAACAGATTATTGATGTTTCTTCTATTCAAATAGTCAGCAAATACCTCAGCAACTCAACTTCAACCCAGAAAAAAGCAGTAACAACCTCATCAAGGCCCACCCCTCTTTCAACTACTCACCCAACCTTTCCTCTCACACCCACTACCCTCAAAGGCCTGATATTAATCCAACTACTACAATCCCTTCAATCATTTAACCTACAATACAAAGAGACAGCTGACATCACTATTAGATACTACTTCTTGTATCTACAGAGATATATGAACAAATCTGGAAACTATACTGCGACAGGCTAGCAAGATGAAGGAAACAGTACAACATACTATTCTATAACAAAAACATACCAACAAACAGAAAAGCTCATAACTATACCAAATCATCGTGAAGGAAATTTACTTATAACTGCTCCTGAAATATAGCTAACCAACTGCATGAGGACAATGGTACCTGCCCTTTTATAGAACAGGCACAATTTAAATTCGATCAATAGTCAACGATGTGGGCTTAATAGAGTATATATACAAACTATATATTAACTATTAAAATCTAGATAAGTCTTGAACACTCTAGTAGGTTTAGATCACAAATAACTAACTTAGCTTAAAGGCTAAGTTTCTAGTCTGAGCTTCCATTCTTGCATGTAATTTATATTTTTTGTTATTATACAAATTAAGTTATTACTTGTAATTACTTGTATAAATTACTTAATAAAGATACAAGCAAGGCCTCATCTTAATACTAAAAAAAATAAAATAAAATAAAATAAAATATAAATAAGTATAAAGAAAATATATGAAAATATAGATTATAAATGTTTAATTTTTTGTAATTTAAGAGTGTAAAATGTATAAAAAAACATGTATAGAAAAATTTGAGATATAAGGGTAGTAAAATTTACTAAAAAGGATTATTATATTAATGATAGACTTTGTGTAATAATTAATAAATTTGTGTAAAATTGATTGTTAGAATAAAAAATCCAAAAGAAAACTTAATATTTTTATAATATAAAGTTAATTTAGATAAATTTAGAAGTAGCTGATTGTTATACAAGAATTGTGTATAGTGAAGAAAACAAAAAAAGAGTTAAAGTGTTTTAAAGAATAACTTCGTTAATTTTAAAGCTAAAAAGATGAAATATAGCTTGTTATGATGAGAAATGTATGTAGAACAAACTTTACTTATTAAAGAAAAGAGATTTAGAATCAAGATATTGAGCAAATAGCCAAAGTTTGAGTTATTGGCCTTAAAAGACTTTTTTGAAGTTTACTCTATAAATATAAAAGCTATAGACTTGTAATATGAATATTATATA